TTGTTGCAGTAGTTAGAAAATGCTACTGTTGTTCCAACCTGATTGTTGTTCGCCCTAAACGAAAACTTTTCCTGTTAGTCCAGTTTTCGCTCTTACGTGGGGGTATTGTAGCATTTTAAATTTGATTGATTCTTTGAAGTATATTTAAAGTCGCCTCGTATATGAAATCGTCTTAATAAAACGAAGAATGTTTTCTGTTTTTTAGTTCGTATCTTTCGAAAAGTGTTTTCAATCATTCTAACGTCGTAGAGTAATAAATCCATTTAATTGTTGTTTATTTTACTGCGGCGATTTCTTTTCATGTAAATGCGTTTCAAAGGATATCTACGTCGTTCGTTGGTTTTGCTATTTCAGCAGTTCGTTGATTTTCAAGTTAAGCGAACAAATTTTTAATTTCGTCACTATCGGTGGAGCCGCTGTCAAGGGCAGTTGGTTTCGTTTGTTTAGTCCGAATTTTCATCAAATTCGTAATGTTTTTTTTTTGTTATTAGTTTTTTTCATCAGAAGTATTGAAGTTTGGTAGCATGTGTAGTTACAATTTGAGGTTGGTTTATGATATTGACGGAAAGGTGCTTGGGTGGTATTCTTCAAGGAACCGGCAAATTTATATGTGGAGAAGTGAATATTATACTCAAATGTAATGTGTCAGTTTTTGTCTGAGTTAATCACCGATTTGGGTCGTGCTGTGTTTTGAAGAGCTTTGTGTTTTGAGAAGTTTTGAAAAGCCAAGCTTTGAAGATTGCAGTTTAATTAACCCGAAGTCCGATGGTCCAGTGCCCAGCTTTCATCGTATATTTGTTGTCCCTGGTCATTCCAGACCATTTTGCAGCTTGTGAGAAGCATTTGTTTGTTTTGCAGTGTTTTTGAGTAAAGTTCCAGCCCCAAAACTTTTAAAGGAGATATAATATTCAGTGATATCAGGTACTCTTTTTTTCGTAAACATTTTTTAAAGTAAAAATAGACAGTTTTCATCGATAATTGCTTTCATGACAAGTTACAAAAATTGTAATAAATAAAATTATAAATATTAGGGATTGGTTAACTGTCATATTAATTATTCTTATAGTTTTAAAAATTTAATCTTGACATATGACAGTTAGCATTATTGTCTTCGGATATTTGGTACATACATAACCATAAACTTTGAATTTGTTTTGTTTTTAAAAAGGTTAACCTCAGTAAGTAAGCTCCATTTGAAAATATGATAATAAATATTTAAATAGTTACCGCTACAAAATGTCGCGCAAATAGGGTCCCCAACGCCCAGAGTTGTAAACCGAAAGCGCCATTGTAAGTCATTTTTTTTGTATTTTGTTAGTATTATTTGTATTTGTAACTGTTTGTGGTACACATAATTAAAGGTTAAATTTTATTTTCTTAACTTTTTATTTATTTTTTTTAAGCTAACCCTTTTTGAGTTTATTTGAAAAAGATATGTTTTGATTTTATTTTCTAATTATTTCCCTAGTTACAACTAGTGGTTGTAATAGGCATAATTAGGCACCTCAAGTGGCGCCCTATATTAAATTCCTTGAGGTGTTTCTTGTTTAATTTTTATTTTGTTTATCCCAAGAGCCCTTTATTTCATTTTTTTGTAGTTGCCCCATTCCAATGCCCTTATCTTTTACTTATCCACGACCCCAGCTCTCCTACGAAACCCTGAGTGTCCGTTCGCATCAGTAGCGATTATTTTGCTTGCCCTATCTCCACCCCCAATAGTTTCTTCCCCCAATTTTCTACCTTATATTAATGCCCCTGTGGTAGGCAAAATATTATCGTTACAAATGTTCTACTGCATATTCGATCTCTTTATCCGTCCTTAGTGGGATATGTAAATTGATTTGATACTTGATATCTAAAATAACTCCAATTTGTTTTATTTGTTGTCTAATATGCAGCTCTTTTCTGTTGTTGATCAGTTTTTGCTTACGGTTATGATAACAGTGAATGGTCGGAGGATAAATCAAAATTAAACCTTTGGTTTAAAGCATGGACGTATAAACACAGATGGATTCAGTTATTTACATAAAATTGTGAAGTCAAAATTATTTGAATAGGTCACATTCTCAGCACCTTCAACTGTTGTCACGTTTTGTTTTAAAATTTCTTATTCGCGAGTCGCTGAAAATATTACTCCGTATTTTATTACAAAACTATTTATAAATGGCATCGGTTGTTTACATTTCTCTGTGTTATGGATCTACGTCAAACTTCAAAATGCTGTTCCATGTTTGTTTACTTTTTAGTAAAAGTTGTTTTTCGATATTTTGGCTGTATTTTGAGTGATATTTGTGAAAAGTGAAATAAAATAAACGAAATATTTACATCCCGATCTCTCATTTCATTTGTAAGTACATACAATTTACATTATTTAAGATGAGGAAATGAGGAAGCGGGTTTGTTTACATTTTAATAGGCGTACCATTGGGTTTATTCATGTTCATTAATGTATTGAATAAGATATGATCATGAAATTAGTAGACATTTTTAAATTGTAAGTAGACATCATCTGATTAAAAAAGATCTGTTTAGTACCTTTTTAAAACGTGTTTTTATACATTATTACTACTTCCAATTTTTAAAATCTGAATAATTACCCGCGAGAAAAAATTCAAGCACGCTTATGCTCATTGCGGAAGCATCACATTATATGGAAGCTTCAAAACATTGTGTGTTAAAGGTATCTTATTGCTGTGTCCATCTATGTTTATACGTCCATGGTTTAAAGTGTTTTTCGTTTATTTCTTTCATTACACAAAATCGAGAAGATCGGGAATTTTCGCAGGGTCTGGTTAAAATCGAAATTGCATGTTATAAGCTCTAAGGATTAGGCTCTAACAATGGAAATCCCACTACGACCGGTCAATGAAAAAGATTAATTTTATTGGTCTCACGAGAATCGTAAAAATCACTTCCATTGACCGGTAACAAATTGTGTACGAAACTGCAATCTTCACCTTTAAAATGCATTTTGATTTTTGTCGATAGGACTCTATGATCAAAAGATATCTCATTTTTACCGTCGAATTGATACAAATTTAATTTAAAATTGATTTCGAGCGCTTAACTGATATTCAAAATCGCCGGTCGCTTCAAGCGTTGTTTCCGAGAGAGCGGTTCATTCTACAGAAAAAGTGCTAATTAACATTTTTTTTCAAAAATCTTTTTGCATCTTTTTTTTTGAGGTCCCAAAATCGACATTATCAGTAAATTTCAGCCTGATCGTCGTATTATTTTTAGAGGTCAAATCGATGAAAACTGGACTACGAAGTGAAATAATTTATAATAAATCGAACGCAATAGATTCGGCTACACCTTTGGAAATAATATTTTATTTTAATACTGATAAAATGACACTTAAAAATTTACCATTATCATTTAACACCTATTACAACCTTGAGTTTGAAAATTATTGCAGTGATTTACATTTAAAGTAGGAGTTTTTTTCTGAAATAAATTATAATTATGTATACAGGTTGAACCTACAATAACTACCATTGAAGGGGAATACAAATTTATTGTTATAAATAATTATCGCGAGTCAGAGGCAAAAAAAATCAGTTTTACACTTATTTTTTGAATGCGACTTATAGTCATTTTCTATGAATGATTTATTAATTCCCATTTTCGTTTTAAAATGTTACAAGTCTGAGTACTATGTCAAATTGCTGCGAAAGTTACCGATCGCCACCAACTAAGTTTTTCTTCTAATGATATCCACTTACCACTTTCTTTTGTTTACTTCACGAAAATAATTAGAAACAAAATTTGGAAAGCAATGAATTAAATTTATAATTGCCTTCTAAGGAAGTAGAAGCAAATTTAAACATTTAAGAAATAAAGAACTTAGCTTTTTACTTATTTGGTTGAATATTTGTTGTGAATGTAAAAACGGGTAAGTGTATCTTACTTATTTATTAATCCCCTGAAAGCTTTTATTTAACATACACTGCAATACAATACGCTGTTTCATTTAGGTACGACATAAATTCCCCAAACTTCTTTTTATATAGACATGACTGTCTGTTTTTCAATGTGCCTCCAGTAAGTTGTCTATCCATAGTTTTCGTGGTCTTCCTACTGATCGTTTTCCCATTGAGGAACCGTCTCTTGCCGTCTTTACTACTCTATTTGTTGTCATTCGGCTTATATGATCGTTCCATTCTAGTCTTCTATTTCTTACCCAGTTTTTGGTGTTCTCCACCTTGCATCTATGTCATATATGTACTTCTAGCTCTGTCCCATAGTGTCTTACCATCAATTTTTCTAAGTGTTTTCATCTCTGCTGTTTTTAACATCCTTTTTGTCCTCTCGGTGTCATGTCTTGTTTCTGCCGCTTATGTCATTATTGGTCTGATGACTGTTTTGTAAATTCTGCCTTTCGTTTCTTTCCCGATATTTGTATTTCTCCATATTGTTTCATTTTGGCAGCTTGTCGCTCTGTTTGCTCTATTCACTTGATATTCCACTTCGGTTTCGAGCCTAGAATAATTTATGGACCAATAATCACCTGCGAGAGCCGTGTGTCTGCGTGGAGGTGGACACAACCGAGTGGAAAATAAAGATGACTCCACTTCAAGCGACACCCAGGTTTATTTAGTTTTCCCTCGGCGGATGGAGCTCTGCCAGGAGTAACTATCCATTCGCTAGCTTCTCGCAGGTTAAGAATGCGCCAGAAATAAACAAAAAATAAAAAACGTGCTAAGCTCAGACAGGACTGAAAATGTTCAGTGAGTAAACACGCTGTAGTAAGGAAAAGGTTTGAAAAGAAGTATTCGTTTCGTATTCGAGACAAAAGGATCAAAAGCAGCTTATCAGAACGCCACAAACAGAGGTGTAGAGTATACTCATACACAAAAGATTCTTCAGCTCTAAGTGTAGAAGATATACTAAGGTTTCTTTATATTTATACAGTTGACCAACTATTGATTTTGTATTAATTAAAATGTGTCGAATATTTTGTTTATACATGCAGATTATATTATTTATTTACTACTTACCATGTAGAAATATGACAATGAAGCTGCAACAGACCAAAACACTGATCCAGTTTTCACAGATTTAATCCAGAGATAATATGTAAACTGTAAGGCAAAAATGGCTATACCTTCATTGTCATAACTACCTGCCACTGAACGACTTATATAACCAGGCACTATGGCAATAAAACATGCTGCAAACAATCCAGCTCCAGCTGACCACAATTCCTTTGTTAGGTAATATGTGGAAATTGATGTAAGGCCACTAAAAAAATTAAATAATAATTATAAATATAAACATTTACTGTACAAGGAGCTTTTAAATATACCAGATAACAAATATTTGGGGATACTTAGAAAAACAGAAAGATATATTTTAATTCATATTAATCCCAAAAATACTTTTTAAAAACAGTAACCTGTGTTAGTTATAAATTATATGGTCTGTAATCGTTTCAAAAAATTCATTATAATTTCGAGTAAATATTTCAAAATAAAATTGCTCACGAAATCTATCTGCCGAGTGCATTTAAATTACCTCAAGGACCCTAATGTAGTTTCTAACATCTCCGATAGATAAGAGCGTTCGCTAATTCGTCTCGATTCCCGAACGAAATTCCTTGTCCTGCATCTTTATCAACTTGAACGTCAAACAATCAAGACGTTATTTTGTTTAAGTGGTTTCTTAAAGAAGTAAGCCGAAAAATTTCTTTTCTCTTATATATTTTCAAAAAAATATTTATTTTTAGACCCTTACCCGGGTGCCCTGAATGTTACTAAGCTACGATTATTTGGCCCGAGGTTGTATAGATATGGATTTATGATATGTGTTCTGAAATACAACCCTATATATTTTTTGGTGTATGGTATGTTCCTGTTAAATAGACCCAAGGTTTCGGTCATCCAATTACCTAGAGGGTAAAAGAAATTAATTATATCCCTTGTTCATACCCACCAGTTTTTTAATAAATCAGGTTGTACCGATTTTATATTTTCTTTATTGAGCAGTGAAGAATATTTATGAACTAAATAACAGTGAAATGCTTTATTATTGATTTTTTAATTATAATGGATATTCTACCTAATAAACAAATGTATTTTTATGTGAACGAATTTCGAAATTTGGGATAAAGTATAATTTTATTTTCATATATTTCTCATTCATAATCTAATGCCATGCTATTAAATGTTTGTTTTCTTATGATACTATTTTAATTTTATTTTCGTAAAGACACTTGTCATAGTAATTGAATATTGTACACACAAATTGTTATTTTAATTTCTTTCTGGAATGACGTAACTCTTTAACGTAGAATATTTTAATAATTTTTTTGTTCATTACAAAAAAAAAATAAATAAAAGGATAGTTTTGTTTTAAAATTTTCTTTTTAATTTCGTTCCTTACGAGAATAAATTTAAAGATGGTGCCCATTACATTTTAATTTTAAAGATAATACACAGTTTCTATATAATTATTTAGACTTGATAGTTTGTATACCAAAGTAAATAATTTTGCATTAAGGTTTCAGTTCTACTATTATTGTCCTTAATCGTTGTAACTCTCTTTACGTTATTCATGTATCGTGAGTTAAATTGATTTTAATTTGATTCAAAAACATGCCTTGTTGAATTACATACTGATACGGATTTGGACATACGGTTCTCACTACCTTTTAGGGGAACATTGACTCATCCCAGATACCCACGGTATCAAAAGAATTGAGCTCGGGTGGGACTCTTTCCGTGTTATCGAAACCCTAGGTGACTTGGTATGTAAGAGTATCTCCCAAAAATTTTCGTACACATCTGGACGTCGAGAGCAGTATAGCTTTCATACTGTTACTACTATTATGCCTACTACTATTCTTTTTAAGCTTTCCATTATTGCTTCAAATCATTTATTAACCATCAAATATTCTTCTTATAATGCCGTGCACCGTTGGCGAATTATCTTAAGGCCAGACGTCTGTCTGTTGCGCATGCAAAAGCTCGCTAGTGCTATTTATGCCTGTGCAGATCTTTATATTCCGTAGCCACATTTGTCTCCGACCTACTCTATTCCTGCTCTCAATCCTTGGATAATTAGTTGAGGGATTGCGTATTTTTTCCTCTCAGGATATGGCCTAGGTATCCAATAGGTATCCTAACGTTATGAGAAATCAGCACCGTTACTCCCTGCTGCAGTCTATATTGCAAGGTAAAGTCAAAGATAAGCGGGGACCCGGTAGAAGGAGAATATCATGACTGCGGAATTTAAGAACATGGTTTAAGAAAACCTCAACGGAGCTGTTTCGAGCCGCAGCGAGCAAGGTTATGATTGCCAATATGATTTCCAACATCCGAAACGGATAGGAACCAGAAGAAGAAGATCCAATTTCTCGTACCTTGATCAAGTTAAGTAACTCTCTCAGTATTTGACCTTCTTAAGATTTCCCAGTTTCTCACTTTATCTGCGCATGGTATACGGAACATTCTCCAAAAGGTTCACAATTCGAAGGTTTCCAACTTGTTAATGGAGGATGTTTTTAACGTCCATGTCTCCATGCCGTATAACATGGACCATACGATATAGCATTTATACTCCAGGCGTCAGAGACGAAAATGCCACTTAACCTCTAAAAATCATACGAACAAGCTGAATTTTGCCGAGAAATGTTTTCAACAAGAAAATAATTTTCAAATAAAAAGTATAGCTAAGATAGTTTTGAACAAAAATGTTTATTAGTATTTTTCGTGGAGAATGAACCGTTCTCTCAGAAACAACGCTTGAAACGGTCGGCGATTTTGAATGTCAGTTACGCCCGTGAAATCAATGTTCAATAAAATTTGTATCAGCTCGACGGTAAAAATTCGATATCTTTTGATCCGAGTATCCTATTGACTAAAATCAAGATGCGGTTTAAAGGTAAAGTATGCAGCTTTTGTGTGTAATTTTTGTATTTTGCCGCGAATAAACTAAGTCTGTATAAATGTGTATATGTTACGAGCAAAGCCCGAAATTGGACAATCCTCGCTTTGTACGGAAATCATTGTCCACTTCTAGCAGTGTACCTACAAACTGTACAATGTCCGAAATTATCAAAATTCAAAATGATTATCGACACGCTTATCGATTATTGACAAGTGACACACCAAATAAAAAATCGAACATTTCTTCTTTTGATATTTTTATATTTTCTTTTTATACTTTCGACAATGTGATAAAAAATGCTGTGTCAAACCAAAATCTAAAAAGAAGAAATTGTTCTGCAATAAAGTGATAATGTTAGTAAAATATTTCAAAGTTAAAGTGATAAGTACATCACATCGAGTTAGAATCTAAACTCGATGGTACATCACTATAATACATGTAAGAAGTTTGTGAACCATTTCAGATTCTCAAATGATGTGTATGATAATTTATACCCTCATTGATGTTTGTTTGTCTTTAATACCAAATAAAGAATAATCGTAAAAATTGATATGAATCGATATGTCATATTCTCTCAAACTTAGACGCATTGCTACTAATTGAAATTCGATCATTGTATTATAGCAATTCTTTTATACAAAGTCCGACGATTATGTCTATTTCGGAGATTGTACAGTAAAGGGGTACAATGCTAGAAGTGGACAAGCTTTTCCATATAATGTTAAGATTGTCCAATTTCGGACATTGGTCGCAACATATATAAACGTGACGCAATTTTCCACTTTTTATGATTCTAATGAGATCAATACAATTTATCCCTTTCATTGACCAGCCAGTATGGAGTTTCGATTACTAGAGCCTAATCTTCAAAACCTATAGTATGAAATTTTAGTTGTGAGTTTTGCCAACAAATGCGAGGCATTTGAAATATGCATAAAAACGCTGAATTTATTAAACGTTCACATTACAAACGATCTAAAACGATTAAAACTGCTCTTTTCAATTACGTTTTTCAAAAGTACTCAACTTCTGTTACAAATTAAACCCAAAACCGTCTTCTTAAAGGTATTTCCCGTGACGCGCGATCGTTTTTAATGCCAAAGTTTAAATTCTGCGTTTTTTTGGTCATATTTCAAATGCCTTATATGTGTTGCCACAACTAAAAACTGAAATTTAATGTCATATGTTTTGAATATTGATCTTTAAAAATGGAAATTTCACTACAATTGGCCAATGAAAATGATAAATTTTATTGATCTCATGAGAATTGTAAAAATGGCAAAAATAGCGCAATGTTTATTTATTAAAAGAGTTATAGAATCTAACTTCATTTGCGGCAAAAATTGCATACGAAAGCTGCATTCTAATCAAAATATATAAAATTTTTACCTTTTCTTTAACATTGATTTCGCGCGTGCAACTGACATTTAAAATCGTCGGTCGCTTTAAGCGTTGTTTGTGAGAGAACGGTTCATTCTACACAAAAAGTGCTAATAAACATTTTTGTATCCAATTATCTCAGCTACATTTTTTATTTATTTTTTTTCCACGGCATATTCTTGGTGAATCAACTTTTTTCCGTTTTTACGAGTGAGTTTTAGGGGTAAGCCCGGAAGTAAAAGTTGTACAACTTTTTTGCATCTTTTTTGGGGTTAAAAAATTGATATTCTTGGCAAAATTCAGCTTGTTCTTATGCTTTTTAGGGGTCATATATCTGTACCAGTAGCGCAGATTGAAGGGAAGATTGCGGTTACATAATAGTGGCTTAAATTTTATAAAAGCTTGTCTTGCTTGTTCGGTACGGCATTTTATTTCTTGTTGAGGATCCCATAGGTCGTTTACCATCACTCTCAAATATTTGAATGTTTTCACTTGCTCGATTTTAGCATTATCTATTAGAAGTTGTACTCTTCAAAGAGGGATTTTTCTTATTGCCATGCATTTAGTTTTTCTAACATTTATCTTCAAGTCATATGTTTTTCCTGCGGTATTTATTATATTTAGCATCAACTGTATATCATGTTCGTTGTCTGTGATTATCGAGATGTCGTCGGCATAACGAATGTTATTTATCGGATACCCGTTGACCTTTATATCACACTCAGAGCCTTAAGTAGCTCTGCAAAAACCTTCTCCACATAGAGGTTAAAGATCACCGGAGATAAATAAAGTCCTGTCGCACCCCTCTTAAAATTTCAAATTTCTCTCTGTTCATTGATTTGTTCAGCCTCACCCGCGCTGTTTGATTATAATAGAATTGAATTGATTATAATAGAATAACTAACAGTTCTTGCCTTGGTACAGGTATATACCACATATGAACTTTTAATACATATATTTCTAATTTTAGTTTATCCAATAATGTATTCTCTTTTCAGAAAAAATCATTAATTGTTCTTTTTAATTTATTAAGAATCAGAACTGGATGACATGGCTTGTCATTGGTTTTACAGAGTTTTTAAAGCTTCATTTGTCTCGAATATTCATTAATTGCTGAAATTCGTAAGTATTCCTATATAAAAATCCACTAGGAAACTAAGTTCCTGTAGCTTGCTGTATACCATATATCACAAAAAATTTATTTCAAATCCTTTATAAAAGATATATAATAAAATGCCCAAACGGGCTATCACAATTACATTACAGAACGTTTTCGGATTAAACAATCCATCATCAGTGTAAACAAGGTATACATGCTATGAGCCACCAAAATATATGAGTCAAAACCCTTTACTATACCGTACCGTACTAAACCGTACTATATATTAACAAAAGCAAGACATTTATTAATGCACATTCTTTTTTAATGCAATGTACATCAACAATTGCCTTTATCATAAATTTGTTTATACATGTGTATGATAATTACAGCGATGATGTAATATTACAGCCTTTAATGAATATTTAAATTCATGCATATTAATTTCCACTTTTGAAGACTTCTCTGAATTATTGATCTTGTTTACTGAGTCTTACTTATTTACTTTAAGACTCTTTACTGTCTTTAACCAGAAATCTTATAACCATCTAATATCAATTGATCCAAAGAAATAGCAGAAAAATAAATATATTGAATATGGTGAATTCTATTGTGTATAATAGTGGAAATACTAATTTTGCTTATCTGTTTACATAAAATTTTTTAACATATTTAAAATTAATATCAAGGATGTGGCTAGATTTTGTTTTTCCCTGATACAGATATAAAATGCTCGTCATTTTTTTTACACTAACGCATTAGCCACATAGAGATATTAGCTTGTTGTTTGGTGAAATAATTAATATAATTATAGTAAAAATTTTGGACTTATTTTGTACACTGACAGTATTTAGTTTAGTATGTAATGTTAGATTTTATAAAACAGTTGACAGTCTCTAAGATAAGCTAACAATTTTTGTGCATCCGTGTTTTTTTCTAGCGCCGTTTTTGAAGTACTATTACCGTTTACAATTTTCAAAAATCATTTTTTTTTCACCTTCACAGATAACCCTCTAAAATATTAGATAGAAATTCGAAGTCAATCCCGAGATATAACGCATTTATTCACGCAGCTGTCAGTTGCGCGACTTATATTTATTTACCTTTCTCCAAAATACCGGTTATACTTTTACATCTTGTATTGTTAGCTTTCTCGTAGATTCTCAGTTCTATTTCTATTTTTATAGAACTGATTTTGAACGAAATATTTACAAAATAAAACTTTAAATGCGTTTTTTTTAAAATACGTTTTTAAGCTTTAAATAGACTCTTGAGAAGTTATTATCGGGACTGTAAAACATTTGCGAAATAATATTTAGTGTGTATTTGTTCTGTTTTCGGTAAGACTATTTAAAAATTTAAAAAGAAAATCGCGTGTGTTCTGTTGATGGGTCGACGATACTGCTAAAATATCTTATGGTTCAGTGGTTTCAAAAAGGTTGTTTAAGAGAGATTGAAGGCAGTTCTCATTACCAATGGAGGTAACAAAGAGATATTCCAATTTTAGGTAGCAGAAGAACAATCATAAGAAAAATCGTTGAAATTTCGGGTAATACCAATGAAAAAACGAAAATACTTACTAAAAATTCGACTTGGGAACTGATCCAAGAAGTGTTTTAAAAAATTAACGAAATGTTAAAGAAGTTTCTGGAAAAACAAATAATAAATTCGTAGAAATTTCTGAAATGACTTACCCAATAAACATATAATACGAATTACGAAAAATTCGAGAAAATGCAGATGATCTGGTAGAAAGATTATAAAAGAAACAAAAAGAAGAATGGACTAAAGAGGAAACGACAGCTCATGAGACTGAAATTACCACTGTTTGAAGGATAGTTTTCTTGGTCCATATAACTCAGATAATTTGAAGCTATTACGCCACCAAACCATTTGGACAGAAGAGGAAAGGGTTGTTTTCTTGACTGCAGCTTATGCAGCAGAAGAATCGACTGGAAAAAAAAAGATATGAAGCTGCTCATCAACAAAAAGTATACAAATCACAACTGCTAAGTAGAATCCAGCATGAAAACAAGAACTCGCAGAAACTTAAAGTAGATGTTCTAGAATAATTATATGTAGATACATTTGTTAGACACATTCAGAGAAAAGACAAAGAGACAGCGAGAAAGAGTAGCGAATTATAGAAATCTCACACTCTTGACACACACAGGATGATGATATTTAGTTTAAGTCCTAAATTTTTTTTGCTGCCATGTCTGTGGGCATTTTCATGGATATTATTGGTCTAAGTTTAAAAATCATATTGGAGCCAATGAAATTGGCTGGTACTAAAAAATAATCCTATGTGCAGATTTTTTGAAAATAACAATGGTACAGAATCTAAACTACAGCTGATTGTTTCTATAAGTAAAGTCTTAGAAATATTGTGCCAGTTACGAAGAAAGGGAGAAATTTCAAAACAGGGCCTTTCGAAAATATTTGCCCATAAGACCAGAACGACACGCTTGTATTGTCTGAGCAGTCTCCTGTCTGCTTGGTGTTCGAACATGAATTCTGTCTGGTATGTGATCTTGACTTCAGCTGCATATCTTCCAAAGAAACATCAAGCAAATAAAGTAAAGGATGAACAACATCCAAGATATTGTTGACCAAAAATCTAACTAAACAGCTAATGATACAATTAAAGATAATTGTGAAATAATTGTAAAAAAAGTGAATAAATGTGAATACTTCTTATTGCTTGGTATGTTTTTGCACAGCCCGAAATTATATTTAACCTGCAGCATACAGGAAAATACATACTATATATACATAATATACACTGATTCTAAAACTAAAATAATGTTTAACAAATGTCATTATATTTTTTAATAACTTTTTTTTATAACAGTTCGAGAATGACTTGAATCTAATCAAATTTAATCAAATAAAAAAAAAAATAAAAACCATCGCTCTATATGTAGATGTTAAAAAGCTATGCTTCCCCACCTCGATCACTCCCAGAGTGCTACATCCTGCTTTTTATTTTTTTAATCCATTATAATGAAATATAATAATAATCAAAATGAAGCAGGATGTAATTATTGCATATTAAAACATAGTTTTTAATTTAAAACAACTTTTCACAGTAGCAATTTTTCGATATTGTAAAATATAAAGCTACTTTACTCTTGACCGAAATTTATATTTGTTGACATATGTTGTATAAGATTGATAAAATTTGACATCTGAGGATTTCAGCTTAGGTTTTAAAAAGTTTCCCACATTGTTCCAAATTATGTAGCCACACTGTATAAGGATGAGTAGGCTAGTAGACTTTTATTAGTAAGATTTAAATAAACTTAATTATTTGTTGTAAATAAAAGAATCACATTATTCTTTTTTCACTAAACTTTTTAAAATGTCCAATAATGCATTCTTAAACTATAACAAATATATTGGAAGTTTTGTTGTTATGGTAATAGAGACACCAATCACTGATGTTTTAAGCTGAAGTAAACTGTTTACTTCAAGCACTAAAAAAAACCATTACTATCTGACTTAACAACAGCAAGCGCAACCTTGCAGAAACATCAATTAAACCTGGAAAACTACAGAAAGTACATATATGTATACATATAAGTTTAGTCAATTTTAAGGATTGTTAATTTACATACTATTATTTTTTTCCATGTATATTTTAAGTGTGTAGCCTCATTATTGAGATTAACAAAGGTACATCTCCTCCATAGATATTGAATTTTTATTTGGCCCATATAACTAGCTGATAAAATAATACTTAACTAATGTATCCAGTGTAGCAGAAAATTTGTTGATATTTTGTTCCAAATAATGTATCTATTGTATATATTTATGTAATATTTTTTAAATATGCTTTAAGTATTTACATTATTTAGACATCCCTATCTACTTGGATATATGACTTGTACCTATTACTGAATGTATAATTTATTTTTCTTAACTGGAATTTTAGTAGATAACATTTTGAGTTTAAGTTGGAGCAACTAGTTTATAAAAATTGTAATGAAGCCCTTGTTTTTTAGCAATATAAATACTTTTACAGCAACTGTATTTTATCATAATTGAATTATAGAATTTACCTGAAAACAGGAGCCAAAAACACACATATATCACGAATATGTACATTTATATGGAGTAAATGAAGGATGTAGTGAATACTTCCCGACGTTAACATCAAACCTGGATAAACAGTACCCCCCACAATTCTTCCCAAAGGATACCATGCTCTTTCATCAAACCAATTTAAAAAATTATAAAATCCATGTTTTACCATATATGCCGTGGCTCTATAATTGAACCTAAAATAAAGATCACATTATATACTTAAAAAAATCCAGATTAAAATCTCATACCAGGGATCAAATTCATGAATGATACTTTCAAATCTAATTACTGCAAATAGACGTGAAGAAAACCCTGCGATCCATGCTAGAAGTAGGACTACGAAAATTATTAAACTACTAATTCCAGCTTTGCTATTTATTTTTGATACTGATGACTTTTTCAGACCGGCTTGAACCATTTTTGACAACCATCAACTACCAAGCAAAGTCATGACACGCACACAGTCTCCAAAACCTCGGCTCAAGAGTCAAGAGGTTACTTATTTTTCCAGTCGGCGTCTCGCGATTGGTGGATACGATGAAAACATAGAATGTGTCAAAGAAATGTCAACAAACGAATTTACACGCCCTACTCCACGTTTTGTTACGAATATTCATATGCCAAACAGTTTTTAAAGGAAACAACAAAACTTTAAACAAATAAGATATTGTATTTTATAGTAGATACCAAAGTTATAGCGCCGTCTAAACTAAAATATTTTTATCTTTTCATTAAATAAAAAATAGACAAGAAATACTGTACCATGCTCATAGAGACCATGCTGTACCATAGAATAATAAACAATCAGAATGCCCACTCTGCTTAAAAAAATAAGTACGCGCATCTCGTTTGCGCAGACGGAATCAGCCATGTTTTAAACGGAACCAGTGCTGTTCAGTGACATTACAGACATAATATGCACTATTTTATTCGTAGTTTTAGTTAAAGAATGGATTAAATTATTTCAAATGTACTAAATTATTAATCTCTAGAAATTTAAATCACAGTTATGTCATAGATTGTCACAAAATTGCCAATTCGAGTATATGTTTGCTTCTAAAACATGGCGTTCGCGTGCTGACAAACTTCAAAGGCGATATTTGAGGGTGGGCATTCTGATTGTTTATTATTATGTGACTGTACTAAGGGGCGTTTTTAGCACAGACGTATATAACATAAATGTGTATCGTCGGCTGTATGCAATAATGGCACAACACAAAACTGGTAATTTTTCAAAACAGGGGTTTAAAGTTTGTGTGCCAATAATTTTGGCATATTTGTTTTACTACATGCATTGAGATTTTTGAAAAAAAAAATAAATTTTGGTATATTTGAAAGAGCATTAGATAGCCTTTAATAAATTGTAACACAGACTTTTAAATTTAACCCTTAAATGTTGATGTGCAATAGTGGCTCTATTTTAATATGTGCCACTATTGCACATCACCATTTTGTCTTTCAAGACTAATTAAGGCAAAGACAAAACTGCCATTTTTTTGTTATTAATATCAACTGAAATAAAAGTTCAATAAAGAATACTACAAGTTACTTGAATGAGAAAATATGTTTATTAACAACTAGAAGAAGAACGAAATAAAAAAGTATATTTTAACAATAATAGGAAAAGTTATGACTAACAATGCTTTAAAAATGCTTTTTCTTCTATTCAGTTATTGGCAGGCTGCCAATCTAAATCTTTTTTAGTTCTATAATATCCATGCCTTCTAAACCTTTTCTTGGTGGTATCAACTGATCTGTACAGCTCTCGAGCAAATGAAGTTTAAAATAGTGGTAAGCACCAGAGTTTTTTTTCGTGAATTTCACAAATATCGTTGAAATGAAAAGTATTTCCTTTGACATATTAATTGAAAATTGTAGCTGTGTTAGTATTTAAATTTTTCAGGTCAAAAAAAATCATCATGACAATTTGAGTATGGCCGACAACTAAATAGCGATGACTTATAGGAGAAATTTTGAAATGGTTTACAGCGTACTGATACATTGAAAGTAGGTACTTGTTTTTTCCTTGGCCACCACAATTATCTGATAAAAAAAATGAATTTAAAATCGTCAGAATCGGTTTTTATAGATGTTTGTTCCAAATACATCAGCAGGCACGAACCAATTTCTGTGGCACCTATACTGCCTTCTCCTTTGTGCCAAATATAGTAGTGCACATTTCCCAGTCCCTTTTTCTGAAGTTTATATATAGGGAAATGATGTTGATAGTTTAGATTTATAATAGAAAGCGGAAACGTCTCCTTTTGGTGGCGGTAGAGCAGCTTGTAGGTCAAAACAAGAACTTTTTGTAAGTTAGTTACATTCTCTTTTTCAAGTGTTTTTATCTCTGGACTTAGGGTACAGTATGGAAATATCTAAAATTGTCTGCTATAGTGATACAACTCAAAAGTGCCGGTATTGCATAGAAACATGATATCGACAGGGTTCGACTTCCACTGCACAACTAAAAAGGGGAAGTACCAACTGCAAAAAATAATTCTCAAACGACAATATATCATAGAGCCACTAGTGACGTTTAGCGGACATTTTTGCTATTTGTGCCAGTTTTGCAGGTCATAAATAACGCTATTTTAAGCCCTCTGGTGATGTTACTTAATTTGGTAAATTTTTGAGTTAAGCTACTATTGCATACAGAAGATGATAATACGTCTATGGTTTTCGGTCAATTCAGTATTTCTTTGAACACTCCGACATCACAGAATAATTATTGTGTGTCGGCATTATGTCACATTTTTTACTTTAACAGAATTTCTTTGCATTTCGCTTAGCATGCATTATTTTTTCAAAATCAAATTAAACAAGTTATTAGGAATATTTTTAATATCGCTGACAAAACAGGAATATGCAAAACTAGAATAATGAATAAAAATAGGAACAGGCTACGGAAAGCATAATATGCGCCTCGGATCTCAATATAACATTTTTCATATAAAAATTCTTTCACGTCACAATTTAGATAAAGTTACGTCATTTATATTTAAAATTTCCAGAACGTCAACCTTAGAGTTCAAATTTTCCTAATACAGCTAATAATACGAAGCCCATACGGAACTGCTCGATCTTTCATAGGCGTCAACATGGTGTAATATTCAGAAAAATTTAATGATCATTATATTGGAAAATTTAGAATTTTATTGATTAAATAACCAAAAACATTCGTTATTATTAATAATATAAATTTTATGAAATAACTCATTAAGTCTAATATTTCACAAAATAATAATTTTAATTAAATAGATTAGACAATTGTACGCAACTGATACGGGAATACTTCAAATTTTATTGACAGTTAAGCGTGTGGCAAAAGTGTATAAAGTGTTGCCGCTTTTTTAGAGAAGAATTTTGTTTATGTTTTCTTATGTTATGATTTCTTACACAATTTGATCATAATATAATATACTTCATCTAATTTAGATAACGACTTACGTCATTATCTACGTCAGAGATCGAAGTTGACATAGTTGCCAAAGTATAAAAAAATCCTGACTCAATTTTAAATCAAATAGATTACATAATTATTGCAAAAGTATTACCATCTCTTTACAACGACTATTTAAATTCTTACGTGACATTTTTTAAATAAAACACACTAATTTTGTTCTAAAAAGAACAGATTTTATTAGATAGTTAACAATATTAAAACAAGAGATATTCACTTTAAAATTCAAAATAATAAAGTACGAAAAGTGTCAACACCGCAACTGTCAAATAAGTGTTACCAATTTATGCCAAAATTTTACATTCGTTCGATTACAGTTACAGTGTGTTCCGAACAAATGTTCTTGATAAAAACGCTTTATAATGCATTTATACAAATTAAATGAAACATATTATTGTGTTTTTCTTCAAGTTAACATTAATAGAAATTTTTAAATATGATTTATACGCGTATATAATAAAATATGTCTAGTGGCTGTAATGTCAGTGTACTCGGTAAAGTGGTTCTAAAAAAGAACACACCTACACCCTAAATATTTTGTGTTGGTATCATGTGACGCCACAGGCTCATCGAGCAAAAAGATAAAAGAGGGAATCTAATCGTTATGAAAAGGAGACCAAAAAAGTGGCCTCTGATGGCGGACATATCCGGAAATGCAAAGGCGCTAAATTTAAATTTTCCAACACTTGCTAACAATACCTGTAAAATATTTTTCAGACAAAAAAGTTTTAATTAAATATTAACGATAATAGTCTAAAAAGTGACATAATTGGTAAAAAACTTTAATATAAATAAAATTTCATGTGACAGTTGGGACAAACAATAACATAACCAAACTAAATTTGACTTCTTAAACAAGGAAAGAGACTGTCTTTCCTTGTTTAAAGTGGCCTCTCAAGATATGCACTTCCTGTCTAACAATATTTTTTGTCCCCACTACCTTTACATTCCCTCTTTTATCTTTTTGCTCAATGCACAGCTATGACGCCGATGACGTGCATCGTTATATAAATTAGATGAAGTTTTTGTACATATTAATAAATTGTATTTATAAATACATATTAAATTTAAATTAATAGCTTTAAATACTAATTATTGTTGTGTATTGTGATTGTGCTATTAGTTAACTAGATTGTGCTATATTCCAAAACAAATAAATAGTCTGTAGAAAGCTGATAAGCTTTCATATAAGAGAGATTATTTTGAACAAAAAATAATGGAGGGACGTTTTTACGATTAAAGCCCTAAAAGATGTTCGTTTAAGGTGTGTTGCAGTAGTCTTAAAACTAATTGTATTTACTGTCAATATAATACTTTGACAAATAGTTTAGATTTTAAAAATTCCTCACTTCCTAAACGTTCTGATGCTTTAGCAACGCTGTGGAGTTCTGACGACGTATATGTTGAATGACGTACAAGCATTTTTATATGAAAAATACTATACATGAATAATTCTGTGCTAAACTGCCAAACTATTATTGTTGACATTTCTTCTTTTTCTTAACCGCTAATGTCAAATTGAGCAAGACAGTTTCCCGTTGTTTTGTCAAAAACATATTTTTAAAAATGGAAATGTGCAATAATTTTTAAAGTGAACGTCAAGGTTGAAATTTGAAAGTCGCAACGTTTTATTTACCTTTACCTATGTAGTTATAAATTGTAGGTGATAGACAATGGGTGCTAATCGGGTGAGCTAAACATTTTATTAATCAAATCTGATAGGATCTAAAATTTTAATCAGAAGCCACACATAATTTATGGTATTCAGAATATAGTTTGATTATTGCCGTATGGTAAATAAATATAAAATGACCCCAACATATGTTTACCATTAATAAACTTTCAAATACATAAGTCCTGTAGTAATAACAATTATCTTTGAAAAATACTTAACACAATTATATTAAAAATCTTAGATAATTGTCCCAAATATTTATACATTATTAGTTAACATTGGTAGCCAATTAATCCACAAGCTATTTTATCTCTTGTTTACATTATATATTACTAGAAATGTGTGACATATTCAGATTCCAAGTGGTGATTTATCTTTGTGGTCTTAGACATGCTT